CGTTTCCTAATTTCAGAAATATCAACATTTGTGGTGCTAAGCTTTTGCAGAAATGCATTGTTTAGTAAATTTAGCCATCTTTTTCAATTCTATAATCTGCTAACTTCAGCTTTTTAATGAGAGAATTTTATATGAGTCTCTGAGAATTGACAATCTGTCATCTCTGCTAACTTCTAGGCAGGTATAATATTACAGGCAGATATCTATTTTAAGTAATATAAAGAATGTGGTAATGTCTAATAAATAAGGAAAAAATCTCATGGGATGTAATTTTTTTCTATATTTCAATACATTGGATCCAAATACGTAACCCCCCAAATTAACAAAATAATGATAACTATTATGTCACGCAGAGGTATAGTATTTCTGAAATACTTAATACTTTTAAGACATGTTTCATTATGAGTATTTCTATAATCTCAAATCTATGGGAGTTAATTTAGCCACATTTTTTTTAATTGGAAAAAGATCTCCAAATATCCATTTATGGCCATCGTCTCAGAATTGGAATTACAATTTATATGGTTAGGTCATTCTACTTAAGAATTTATATAATAGTTTATCGCATGTTAGAAGATTCCTAGTTGTTAAAACAACTAGGAAACCCAAAATATTAATATAATACAAAGAAACAAGGGTACTCTAACACATAGGGGCTAGCTTATCAAAGCTTTCAAAGGTAAGCCCATGCCAGAAACCCTAACACGGGAACTAGCAATACTGTTGTATCCATATGCTCAGAAATAAGTACTCTCCATGGTGAGAGTCACCTAATTAGTATTTATTGAGTGGGCATATGAAATGTTATTAAAGTAAACCGAAAGTCATTCAACTCACTTCATGTCAGGCATTGTGCTAGGCACTGAGGAGTCAGAGAGAATTAGAAATTGTTTTTACATTGCAGCTTCTATTGGGGGCAGAGAAGACTTCCAGGAGGTGGTGATATATGGAGAGTCTGGGTAAGGGAAGGTGGAATCCCATTCTAGATGGAGGCCCCAGTTGAGGAGAGGCAATGAGATAACAAACAGCTGAACAGGAACATATAAGCAATAAGGGAAATGGCAGGAGATTAAGCTGATAGCAGGGTCCATTCCCATATGCCATGTTACGGAGCTCAGATCCTGTCCTGAATAAAGGGAAAATCGTAGAAATAACTTCAAGCAGGAAAAGTGGTTTGGTTAAATATGCAATTTTGGTGTCTTAATCTAGCACCAGGCTAGAGGATGGATGTGGGGGTAACAAGGATGAAGGCAAGACAATTAGTTAGGGTAGTGAAAGGAACCTGAATCGGGTAGGGAAGAAAAGAAGAAATATTTAGGTTATATATTGTTAATACTGTATTTCCTGATTGCTTAGCTGTTGAAAGAGTAGGAAGGAGAACCAAGGATGACTAATGGGAGGTGTGAGAGAGAGTGGGTGGATGAGTTCTGTTTGAATATGTTAAATTTAAGATGACAGTGGATCACTGAACGAAGCCTAGATAAGGGCCCCAGCAGAGTCTGGTACAGAAATCCATATTTGGGAGATATCATATTGAAATTGAAACTATGAGTTGTAAAATGAAGCCACCTAGGGACAGTAGGGAATAAGAAGATTATCAGAACAAAATTCTGAAGATCACTGATATTTAAGGGGCAAAAGAGGAAGAGACGCCTATGAAGGAGACAGTTAAGGAACATCCAGGAAAGTATAAAGAGATCCAGAAGAGCGAAGTTGCCAAGGAGTTCTGAGGTTTGTTTGACTAGCAAAATGTACTTTCTAAAACCAGAATTTGAACACTTTTAGAAAAGATATATGCCTTCCATTTCAACAAAGTCCCCATGTTCTACTCATGCTGTACTATTATCTGTGACTTGCCTTGCTTCTACATGCCTGTGTGTTTGTGACCCCAGAGTAGAAGCTTCTATAAAAGGAGTCATCATAAGTGTCAAATGCAGCAGAGAGGACCAGAGGATAAAGAAAGAAAGATGTCCACTGATTTATCAACAAGAGGGTCATGGTTATTATAACTGGGGACAGCTCAGTGGTTGTGGTAGCAGAATGTAGACCACAGAGATATAAAGAGAAAATAGATAAGGTGAAAGTAGCTACTCTTTAAAAATTTAGAGACGGGAGATTAAATAGTAACTAAAAAGAACATGGGTATAGGAAAGCTTTTGTCTTTGTTTTTTTTCTTTTCTTTTTTTTTGTTAGATCATAACTGTGTACATTATATGTTTACAGGCAAAGCTAGACAGAGGCAGAAAGAGGTAATATTGGAGAGACAGAGGCTTCCTGATGGAGAAAATCTGGGAGGCAGCTGAAGAGAAGGGTATGGAAGGTACAGTGGAGGGCTGAGCACTGGAGGATTAATTGGAGGGACTCCTTAAACTCTGAGGTAGGAGGAAAAAGGGACAGAAACTCAGACCTAACTAAGATCCACTGCAGGTTTGCATCAGGAAAGTGATATGATTAAACTGTGTTTTAAGAAAACTAGTTTGGCACAAGTATGTAGAATGGATTGGAGTAGGGGGAGGCAGCAGACTGTGGCAATATTTCAAGCAGGAGATGAAAGCAACCCAAACTAGAGTGGTGCCTAATAGGAATGGAGAAAATAAAAAAATCTAAGAGACATTTCAAAAGGTATGACATAATTCCAAAGATAGACTAGAATAGGGCAATTCAAGGAGAAGGAAGAGTCAAAATGTCTCAAATATTTCAATTCTAGGAGATTAAAATGATGGCATCATGGTCAGAAATAGGGCAAATGGAAAGCATAGACAATGTAAGAAGGGAAAAGTGCTGGGCTTAATATACACTGTGTTTGAGGTGATAACTTTTGAATTTTAAACTTTGAAAGGAAACAAAGTCTTCTACACAATAGAAGACTGCACAAAGAATGGAAAAAATTCAGGTTGAGAGGGAATTAAGAAATACTTCATTCAGAGAGGGCATATAGTTTAAGGCAACTCTAATATTACTATGCCAGAAAAAAAATTAAACAGAAGTTTCTATTTCAGAGGTCTCAGAATAAAATTAACTATAAGTTATTTTGCTTTACTTGATATAAGGAAAGTTTTACAACCATAGAAAGACCTATTTCTCAAATCCAGTAAAATTTCCTCCTGAACACTGAATTTTTTTTCAAAATTCTAGTCATTTAACATCAAATGTGCTTTCTAGATAAGAAAATGAATACAATAAAACAGAGAATGAATACAATAAAACTAAGTAAGTTTCCAAACTAAATACACTGGTTAGCGAGCTGGTGTGTTGCTTTTCAGGTTTTGGCTCCAGTCAATTAATATCAATGGTTACAATCAACATTACTACTTCACACTCCTAATTCCGGAGTGTGAATTAGGGAGAGATTTGCACCAATAAGGGCCTGGACATGGCAAGTGTCAGTGCTCTGCTTTTCATGAAGAACTTGTTCTTAAGTACTTAATCATGGTGTGTGATTGTGTGGAGGGCAGAAGAGAACTACAAATAAATTTCAGAGAACTTAAATTCTGTTTCCTTGCCCCTTTTCCACTGTCAGAATTTTAGAAAATAATGTGGGGGTACAGTGTTGGAATAGAGTCATGTGAAATAATCCACATGAAAGTAAGCTTTGGTGCCTGAAAAATAACTAGAATAATAAATTGTCTCTCTAGTGATGAAAGAAATGGAAGTAAAACAGCACAGTAAGCTGGCATCTGAATATTGTCAGCTATCTGCAAAATTATTGGACCAGGAAAAATTATCTTAAAATTGTCTAATCAAAAAGCAGGCTTAAACCCCTCCCCAATCCCTTCCACAATTTCAAAATCTCTGCTAATAGATTTCATGAAAAGATTGCCAAAGTATATTACAATCAAAATACTCAGCATGTTAAAAATTAAAGCCAACTTGATGGGGGATATAGTATATATTATATGATTTCATACAATATGAACTCAATTGAAAGTCAAAGGGGCTTGATGAATCATAATCAAAATCAGAGTCAGTATGATATGACAGTAAAAAACAGGCCAATTTTTAAAATGCAGTAAATTAACAGTTAAGAAGAGTGAACATAACACAATGCTCAAACTTACAAATATTTATGGTCAAAGCAAATAAAAACGAGGAAGCAGTCTTTAAAGCCTAGAGAAGCATCATGTATTCTTTTGCATTAAAACTACTATGTTTTGAAATCCCTCTCAATTTTATTTTCTCAAATATGACCCAAATTTCAATTTTTCAAAGGCCACTCTGGATAAATTTTCAAGAAATCATCCTCAGGTCCTGGAGGATGTTTAATGTTTGCATATTTAATATGTATTTGGGCATACAAAATTCCCTGGAAGTATCTTAAATTATCTCATAGCCAAGAAACTTTAGAAACCAAATTCTCTATGTTTATTATAAAGATGAAGAAATCATGGCCTAGAAATGGGAAGCAACTTAACCAAGGTCACAGGGCCAATAAGAAACAAAATGGACTAGCATCTAAGCACCTTGACTCCCAATCCTTTGCTTTCTACTTTCTGTAGATGCCTCTCAACATGAACCTCTAATGGTGTGATATTTACGGAAAGATTAGATAGGGAGAATGGATAGGTGAATGTGTGGGTGAACGGACATTCCATAATATTATTCATAAAATATACTATGTTTCTGTTTTGAAGAAGCCAAGCCTAGTTCTTGTCACATGTCACAGCACTCGCTGTTTTCCACTAGATACCAATCTTGGGCGCGAAGAACCCTATGGTACATAATGCAGTTTAGAGACAATTCACTTGCCTGCATACATACAAGAAAGTAAGTGCGCCCCTACTGCAATCCCTCTGGCTACCAAAGCCCTGAATGCCCTGTACTCATTCTCCTCACTTCCTTTACATTGATATACCCTCGGTTTCTCCATTTAGACCAAGTATCCTTTCCTGACTGTATGCCTCAGTTAGCCCTCCCCCACTCCACAGGCCCCTGGACCACCTTCTCACACCACTATTGCCAAATCTCAGCCTTTTCAAATCCCATGGCCCCTTCTCGCTTACACAGTGATGTGGCCAGCGCCCCGCACCAACACAGGGTCGGGGGCATATTTCCGCATATGTTCCTCGCTCACTACCCGCGGCGGAGGCGGCGCCTCCTCCTCTTCCTCCTCTTCATCCTCCTCCTCATCGTCGTCATCGTCGGGCCCAGATACAGACGACGACGAGGACGACGACGGCGGCGGCGACGACGACGTTGCCACTTCTTCTTCCTCTTCCTCCTCCAGTTCCGAGATGGTGTCGAACTCCGCCATGTTGGGCAGCAGGATGCTCATCACGTGACCTCACGGTCGCAGCCACTCTCCTGGAGAAGAGTTTGAACCAGCTGAGGTGCTGGAAGCGGAGGGGGAACAAAATGAAGAGAAAGAGAAGAGGAGGGGTGTAGGGATGGGATGTGAGGAGACGCGCCTGCGTGTTAGGCAGACCAGGGTGGACGGGCGGGGGGAGTAGTTGGAGAGACAGAGAGAGAGAGAAGGTGGGTGGGATAGAGAGAGGAGAGGAAGAAGGGAGGGAGGGAGGGAGGGAGAGAGAGAGAGAGAGAGAGAGAAGAGAGAAGAAAGCAAGCACATTCCGTGTACGCTTGCGCGGCTCCAAGGGGAGGGGGCTGTTAGAGGTGAACTCCGAGAATTACCAAGGTCTGGTCTGGGTGCTGATTTTCATATTGAACCCATCAGCTGCTTTATCCTGGGGACATAGCTTGTGATTTAATTTTCTTTTAATTAATGCTGGGTGTTAGTACCGCCAGTGAAGGTGGGTGAGAGAAAGCATATTCTATAAAAGTCAAGTTAGAACTTTACCAAAATAGAGATGGGGTACACCAATCTCTTATATTTATTAAGTATTACAGTTTAAAAGATTTTGGCGTCAGAGCTTTGCCACAACATTAAAAGGCAGGGTAAGCATTTCTTTTTCTTTTATTAAGTCATATACACATAGATCATGAATACGTTTATGCATTTGTGGGGTACCATGTGTTGATTTTTTATACAATTTGGAGTGCTTACATCAAACTAATCAGCATAGCTTTCACCTCATTTACTTCTATGTAATACTTATGTAGGACTTTGTAAGTCAGGGACTCTGCTAATTTTGGAGGGTTGTTTTTTTTGAGGAGAAGCATGCCAACCTAATGAAACATTGATTAACATCATCCATTTTCCAGACGCTGGGCTAGGCTTTTCCACATACAATATTTCAGTTAACCTTTAAACAATCCTATGAAGTAGGCATCATTATTGTAGATGACAAAACTGAATCTCAAGAAATTTAAGTAATTTATTGAGGTCTATGGTGATGTTTGTCCAAAATTTTCCATTTAAAATATTCTGTCTCCTCCACATCCACTAAGATATTGTAGAGGTCACATATTTTGAGTTTGCAAATAATGTACAAAACTAGTTCATATTTACCAACAGCACAAAAATCCCTATCATTAAGAAAATGAAGTCACACAGCTAAGTAACACAGCAAATGTTATAGTCCAGGTATTCTAATAATGGCTCCATGGCTCTTTCTGCTACAGTGCAGCTGTATGCCAATCAGATAGTGAGACTGGGGAAACAGACAGCCACAATTAAATTTAGGATGAGCAGTACAGTAACAGTATAGGAATATAAACCAAGTATTTAGGATATATGAAGGAGGAGGAAATTCTGTAAGAGTAACAAATCAAATTACCATTATTACCAAGGTGTTTGTGTTATTAAAGTGAAATTTTTTTCATTTTATTCAAAAGTTTGATTCTTTCAGAACTTTAGAAATAACTTGTAGCAATGACAATAAGCAACAAAATATAGCTTTTTATGGTATGGTGACCTTCATCCAATTAGCCAGAAATTATAAGAGATGGAACCTTAAATATTTCAAAGTATTCTTCTGGCAACAAATACATATCTTTGCTATTATTCTATGTTAAAAAAATGTGTCATATATCAACTATGGGAGTGAAATACCTTAGATTTAAGATCAAATTCCATGTTCTTCAGCAGTTACTCACTTTCAAGGAGTGAAAAAAAATCACAGATAAGAGTAAACTTTTTCCAAATATATTATCTGTAAAGGTCTACTAAGTCAATATGTAGTGGGAAAATTATTTTACTGATTACTGATTAAATGATGGTTTCTCCTTTTCACCACCCAAAATTAAGCCAGTGAGGGATATTTGAAGGAATGAAAGGGAAGGGAATAGGAGTGGACTTTATGATGAGTGCAAATAAGGTATTAGAACTATGGTAAAAGTGAAGAAATGATGGCTATGGGGAATGAGCGGGAAGGAAAGGGAGGGGGAAATTCTGCCAAAATGGAAAGAAGCCCCTGCCATTTAGTCACATGTCAAAGGGACAAAGCAAAAGCAATCAATGTAACCTGCTTCTGTGTACCCTCAATGAATCCCCAACAGTAATAATAATAAAAGGACAAAGCAATTCAGAGAAGTACCATTCTTGGTGTGGCTAAGTGCACAAGTGTAGTTAAATCTGCTTATCTGTTTCTCTTATATACATTGTACTTAAAAAGTATGTGTGATTCCAAAGGTAATTTATTTTTACTGAACTATAGGAGAATTTGGAGTTGAGCAAGCCAAGCAAAACACATTTTGTTTATACATTATCAGTAAACATGAGAAAAACCATGGTTTCTAAATGATAATTTAGCATTGAGAATAGTTAAGTCCAGGAGTGGATGGAAAAGAAAGCAGGGCACATGACATTCTGCCTGATGTCCTAAGTAGGGCATAGGATTACTTCTTCCATATAATGGATGGGAAACTGAGGCGTGAAGTAAAAGGTTTTATGCTCTGAGTGGGATTCAACCTAAAACAGTTGAAAAGGATTGTAACTCTTAAAAGATAGCTTTATTTTATTTGTTTGGTAAAGCACAGAATTCATTGATTTTAGTAAACATGCAGAGTTGTGTGATTATCACTACTAACTAAATTTAGAACATCGCCATTATCCCCCCAAAGAAATCTCTTTCCCATTTTCAGTCACTCCCTATTCTAACCTCCAACATTCAATAGCTACTTTTTATCTCTATATATTTCTTTAGATTTCTTTAATGAACATTTCAAATAATTCCAATCATATAATATGGAGCTTTCTGTGTCTAGCTTCTTTGATTTAGTATAATGTTTATGAGGTTCATCCATATTGTATTATATGTCAGTTCTTTATTCCTTTTAATGGCTGAAAAGTATTCCATGTTGGTGGTATATCACATTTTGTTTATCCATTCACTAGTTGATAACATTTCAGTTACTCCCACTTCAGGGATATTATGAAAACACTCCTATGAACATTTACATACATGCCTCTCTGTGAACATATGTTTTAGTTTCCCTTGGATAGATACCTGTGAGTGGAACTGCTATGAACTGCTATGTTATACTTGTTGTATGACAAGACTATGTTGAACTTAAAACTGCCAAACTGTTTTTCCAAGTGGGTTCATAAGTTTATATTCCCAAGGACAATGTAGGAGGGGTCTACTTTGTCTGTCTCCTCTCCAATACGTGTTATTGTCTTTTGACTATAGCTGTTCTTGTGCGAGTGCCTGTACATTTACTTTGCATTTCTCTAATGACTAGTGATGTTGAACATATTTTCAATGTATCTGTTGTTGATTTGTATAGCTTCTTTGATGAGATGACTACTCAAATATTTACCCCATTTTAAAATTCAGTTTTTTGAGATAATTATAGATTAATGTGTAATTATAAAAAATAATACAGAGAGATCCCACTTACCCGTTGTTTAGTGTCCCCCAATGGAAAATCATACAGAACTATAGTACACCATCATAGCTACAAAACTGACATTGATACAATCCACCTGTCTTATTCACATTTCCCATCATACATGAAATATTTGTCTGTGTACATTTAGTTCTGTGCAATTTTATCACAGATACATGTTCTTGTAACCAGCACAAGAAGATACAGAACAATTACATAACCGTGTACTCCTCCCATTCCACTTTTATAACCATTCTCACCTTCCTGCCTATCCTCTGGCAACCATTAAGCTGTTTACCCTCCGTGATTGTTGTCATTTCAAGAATGTTATGTATTATAAATTGTATCATACTATATGTAACTTTTGGAGATTGGCTTTTTTTAATTCAGCATACTTATCCTGAGAATCATCTAAGTCAGTGGTTCTCAACCTTCCTAATGCCGCGAACCTTTAATACAGTCCAAAGGGGTCGTGACCCACAGATTGAGAACCTCTGATCTTAGTTATTGTGTATATAAAAGTCTTTCATTCCTTTTTATTGCTATGTAGTATCTCACATTGCAGAGGTACCATAGTTCATTTGACTATTCACCCACCAAAAGACATCTGGGTTGTTTCCAGGTTTGGGGTGTTATGAAGAAAACTGTCATGAAATTTTGTGTATACCCTTTCTGCCCTTTAAAAAATTTGGTTGTCAGCTGGGTGCATTGGCTCACACCTATAATCCTAGCACTCTGGGAGGCCAATGTGTGTAGATTACTTGAGCTCAGGAGTTTGAGAGCAGCTTGAGCAAGAGTGAGACCCCATCTCTACCAAAAATAGAAAAATTGGCTGGGGTTGTGGTGAGCACCTGTAGTGCCAGCTCCTTGGGAGGCTGAGGCAAGAGGATCCCTTGAGCCCAGGAGTTTGAGGTTGCTGTGAGCTATGACACCATGGCTCTCTAGCCTGGGGGAACAGAGTGAGACTCTGTCTCAAAAATAATAAATAAATAAACAAAGAATATGTATCCTGGATAGAAGTCCTTTATCAGATATAGGATATATTAATATTTTGTCCAGTCATTGTGTTTACGCTCTCATACTGCTAATGATATCTTTTGAACTGAAAAAAATTAAGTTTTGGTGAAACCCTATTTGTCAATTTTTCTTTTATGGTTTAAGTCTTTGATGACATATCTCAGAAATTTGTGCCTAACCCAGTATAACCAGAATTTGATCTTATGTGTTTTTCTAGGCATTTTATAGTTTTAACCAGGTGTCCTCAAACTACAGCCTGCAGGCCACAGCAGGGTGTTTTATCCGGCGCACAGGGTGTTTTTGCCACAGTTGCCTGTCCTGCTTAGTAGCCTACTCGTCCCGTCCTGGGGCCTACAGTCCGGTCCTCCAATGGTCTGAGGGGCAGTGAACTGACCTCCTGTTTAAAAAGTTTGAGGAGCCCTGGTTTTAACTCTTACATTTAGGTATCTTTTGAGTTGATCTTTGGGTATAGTATTAAGTAAAGGTCTAAATTTGTATTTTTGCACTGTGGCTTTCAAATTATTCTAGCACTGTTTGTTAAAGACTGCTCCTTGTCCATTGAATTATCTTTGTTGA